CTGTTTGACTGCTTTCTTGCTTGCTGCCTACCTAGACCTCTGCTCAGACCCACTACACTCTTGCTTGCTGCCTGCCTAGGCCTCTGCTTGTACCTGATTATTTTTTTGCCTTCCCGTCTCAACCCATCTGCACTTTTCCTGCTGCCTGCCTAGACCTCTGCTCAGACCTGATTACCCTCTTGCCTGCTGCCTGCCTCAACCTCACTACTCTTACATCTGCAGCCTTGTGGGGACTGTCTCAATACTGTAGTGTTTCCATTGCAGCCATCCCATTGGTTTGGCGATCCAGAGGGCCATGACCTGGTGTTAGTTTGCAGCTAACTAAACCAGGACCATTAGAGTTCCTGGGCCATCTCCACCATCAGGAGAAGACCAACTGTCAGTCAGATTCAGTAACTCAGGTGGTCCGCATCACCTGAAAGGGGGGTGCCATACCACCAGCGTTGCCCAAAGCCAAAGAAATCTGTCAGACACTGAGCCCCTTACAGGCCCAAGAAGATTTGTTCAAATGTTTCAGTTGGAGCTACTCACAGATACATGCATAATCCTGAAAATTCCATATGGGTTGGACAACACGCTCATGTCTTTGAAGAATGATACCTGCTCGCCAACTGCTCTCTGGGGAGAACAATAAGTTGTACAGGTTTTTCTATTCCATGCTCTTGGTGACCATGAACTAAGCCACCACGTTCAGCATCTACAGTGTCTTCTCTGTGCTCATCCTCCTCCTCCACTCTGCACACAGTAAATACAAACGCACATTACATCTTTGTGGTGAAGTTCAAGGAATGACCGGCATCTAATATACAGTACATGGCTACTTTTAGAACTGAAAGCTTTTGCATAATATGTTCATGCAAATCATAACAATAGGGAAAGACAATCTCAGCTTTAAAAGCCTCAATTTGTCATAACAATTACTCGTTGTTTAGAGAAGACAGACAGAGCAAATCATGGAGTGGCAGGCAAGATAGGTGTCAAAAAGTTAATAGCTGGAGTATACAGTTCATATGGAGCTCTTGTTAGTCTGTGTCCAAAGCACACAATTTTGCCCATTCTCAGCTACTGAAGTGGTTCTAAAGGCAGAAGGATTTTTTTCCCTTAATGCATTTTGCATTAAGGTAAACAATATCTTTTGTGAACAGGATTACCCAGCCCCCCCTTCCCCCTTATTCTTTCCTGAGCCTGATCTCGATCCAGCACTGTGACTGAGAGTAGCAGCTCTCTCCTTCCTCACAGGACAGAGAAGCAGCAGCAGATGCCATTGGCTCCTGCTGCTGACAATTAAATCCTGTGACAAGAGAGAGCAGGCAGGGAGGGGGTGGAATGTGAGAATATTGATAAGCTTACCTGTAGTTTAAATTTTAACCTCTTCCCGCTGGCCATACGCATATATGCGGCCTCTCTCGGGTGGGCCTTAACACCGAGAGGCTACATACAGTATATGCGTACCAAAATGTAAACAATGCTGTGCACACGCCCTGCACACTACTGGCACAGTTACCGGTGGGTAATGGAAAGCTCTTGATCTCTACTTATGATCGGGAGCTTTCCAATCATGTGACCGCTGTGACAGCCAATCATGGCGGTCACATGATCAAAATGCCCACCTCTGTCTGAAACCTCCTAAAGGGCTGGTGGCACCGGCGGGAAAGAGGTTAAAAAAAAGAGTTTACTACAGCTTTAACCGCGTGCTAACAGCCCTATAGTAGAAATACCGCTACAGGGCAGCAGCGGTGCGCAAAATCACATATATATACGTGATTTTGCATTTCCGGGTAGGGGGCGCACGCCCTACTCGTGCCGCCATTCACAGCCGCGGCTGTCAATCACCGAGCCACGCACGGTAATTACTCGCCGGCGCCTGCTGATTTCCAAGGATCTCCGATGGGGAGGAGGACTGTTTTGTCCTCCTCCCTGTCAGCTCAGGCACACTGCAGTGCGATTACAGTAAATCACACACATCCCTCCCCCTAGAAAAACACTCCCAGCACACAGTTAACCCTTTGATCATCCCTCATGTTATCCGCTTCCTGCCCAGTGCCATTAGTACAGTGCCAGTGCTTTTTTTAGAACTGATCACTGTATTGGTGTCACTGGGGATGTCAGTGACACCAAGCCAGTTCCCCCAGTGTCAGAATGTTCACTGAAGGTCCTGCTAAGTTGCTGATTGCAGCCATTACTAGCAAAAATGAAAAAAAAAATCCCAGTATATATGCCTCCATTTGTAAACGCTATAACTTTCATGCAAACCAATTAATTGACACGTATTGGGAATTTGTTTTTAGCAAAGACATGTTGCAGAATACATTTTTACAAATTTGATTTTTAAAATTCTTTACTGGACATGTTTAATAGCAAAAAAGTCAAAATATAGCTTTTTTCTCAAAATTGTCAGACTTTTTTTTTATAGCGCAAAAAATAAAAAATGCACAGGCGATCAAATACCACCAAAAGAAAGCTCAATTCATGAGAAAAAAAGGCCATAAATTTCATTTGGATGCAGTGTTGCATGACCGCGCAATTGGAAGTTAAAGTAACGCAGCACTGTAATGCAAAAAAATGGCCTGGTCAGGAAGGGGGGGTAAATCCTCTGGAGGGCAAATGGTTAATCCTTTTGTTGCCTTTTTCTTTTTTGGCAAATCAGCTGGTAAAGACCTGTTCATAGTACGTATATTGTTCTGTGACAGCACAACACATGATTCGTTTTTGGTGATCTGCATTTTCTAGCAGTTTAAATCAGAAGGTGCATATTAATGTTACTAAAGTGACTTCCAGCAGAGAATCAGCATTTAGTGACAAGTCCAATGGAAAATTCCAGTGTGACACATTCCACTTGCTCACCGCAGTTAAATCACTTATTTGTTGTATCAGCCAGAAGAACAAACTTTAACTATACCATTTACAGACTTATTGAGGAGAAAAACACAGATATTCTGAAGCAGACCCTGTCACCAGAACATTCATTTCAACATCAATCTCACCATTATATGTGCATTAAATGTGTTTTATCCCCCTGTAAAAGCCTCCCTTGTGTAGACATTCAAAAGTCCTGAGACTGCTGCTGTGTGCTGCCATTTGAAATGCGTCCTCAGCAGACTCACCTATTACTCCATACTACATGAAATGTAAAAATGTAAGGAGGTGAGGAGAGATGCAGAGGAGCTGGGCCAGCACAGAGACTAATGAAATACTCCCAGCAGACGAGAGGGCTATGATGTGTGAGATAGGGGTTTGTGCTAGGGAACCAACTAATCAATTGTTTTTAGCACGTTCAAACAAGTGAAAAAAAAGGGGGGCCGTGTTTACCTGCATCCAGGCAGGTGGTAGTCCCATTGATGTCTATTGGGATGCAACAGCAGCACAGGCAAAGCCGCTGCTCCCACTATGAGATCTGTACAGGTGCATGGCCTGGAACGCAGGCAGCGAGCGCTTGGGAACATGCACCTGCACCCATACCCACATGGATGTCATACTGGGAGCAGCAACTGTGTCTGGGCTGCCATTACATCCCAGTTGACGTAAGTGCGACTGCCTGCACATGTGGGTAAACACGGGTACGCATTGATACTGTGTGAATGAGGCCTTTGTGTTACTATACTGCAGCAGAAAACTAGGCCTTCTCCCCTGTCAGACAATGTTGTGCTGTGAAGCAGAGCTGTGTAAATCTCAGTACTGGATGAACAGAAACACAAATCCTTCCCGAGCTAAACAGCTCCCATGTATGTATTATACTTGTATATGAGAAAAGAAAGGCATTTTCTGTAGAGAAAGCTGAAAAGTGAATTTAACCAACACCTTACCCCTCCATTATATTTGTGGTTAGTAATCATTTTTGTACAAAGAACTATATTTACTGATTACCGTTTTTATAGCACTGACAGTTTGTGCAGTACTATTCTGAGCTTACAATCTACGGTTCCTACCTCACATGCATACATGAGGGCCAATTTCAGACAGCGAGGCTCCATTCACACTGAGCTGAGCATTTTTCAGGTGCTTTTTCAAGCATTTTTTTTTAGATTTGCAAATATTATAGGTGTTTTTAATTTAGGCGTTTTTGCTGTGGACAATAGAAATTGCTGCTGTTTGAGCTGAAAAAACACTTGAAAAAACACTCATTCCCACTGTTCAGGCATTTTCCATTCAAGTATTTAGGGACAAAATACTCAGATCTGCCTGAAAAGTAGCGCAAGTACTTTTGTGAGTGACAGGTGTGTTGCTGCAGGCAACAGAACGGTCAAGTGTGAACAGGGGCCATTGGAAATAATATGATTTTACTTGTTGAGCGTTTTTGAGCGTCAAGCTGAAAAATGTGAATGGGGCCTTAACCTCCCTAGCAGTCTGATTTTGTCCATATTTCTGTGCTCAAATCGGTACATTTTGTTGCATGAAAATATGTATTTTTTTTATTGTAGGCCTGTAATTTTTAGTAATAACTTACTGAAATCTGTCCGAACAAGGGTCTAGTAAACATCCCGGGTATGTTAAAATTTGAAACACGAAATCATAAATTATAATATAATAAATAATCATAAAAAATAATAATATAATAATAATAAATTTAATTCAATAATATAATCAAACCAAAAACACAGAAATTTGAAATATAGCGCCAAGTTCGCACATCACTGAGTAAAGTCGCAGAATCGTTTTCAGTGTCTGATGACGAATTTCCCCACGAATCATTATCACTCAATTCTGCAAGTGGTTCTGATTTACTATCGCTGTTCTCTAGCTGGTCTAAACCCGCTTTTGACCTAAAGGGACGCGTTTTGGACGCCATGGACGTTTCTCAGTTTCCAGGCAGAAAGAACAGTAGCAGGACAAAGCACTCGGGACAAAATGTATGTGAAATGGTTTGATACAGTAATGTTTTACTATGTGATTTTAGTGTATTTTGTGACTGTCACTTTTTAAAATGTTTAAATTTCCCGCCAGTTCGGTCCCCGTACGTCCCGATGCTCGCAGGGACCGGAACCCGGAAGACAGATGCCGACATCAGCCGGTGGAGATGGCCGGGGACGCTGCATGGGGGACATCGCGGGAGTGAAGGACAAGGTAGGTGCTGGAGGGATCCCAGAGCAACGCTGCAGGGTAATCCGGAGTGTAGCTCGGGGTTACCGCTTTTGGCACTGATAATTACCCCTGAGCTATACTCTGGAATACCGCCAGGGAGGTTAACCTATCAGAATGTCTTTGGATTGTGGGAGAAAACCAAAGTACCCAGAGGAAACCCATGCAAACACAGGGAGAACATACAAATTCCATGCAGGTAACATCCCTTGTTGGGATTTGAACCAACAAGCCCAGTGCTGCAAGACAGAAGACACTGTGCTGCCCCATATGGTTTTTAGAATGTTGAATTTGTTGAGTCTGAGAGTTCCCCAGTCATTTCATTGCACACAATGCACATTTCCCGGATCCCCAGTCAGAAGTGACACAATATCCAGCAGTTTATCTTTTCCCATTCCACTTAGAGCACAGTGACAGTTCAGTCCTGTACCAGCTACAACAGGTTTGAGCAAACACTCTATACAGGTGGCTGCACAAGACTGGCGTATGAATGCCGGGCGTTTCCTGAGAAACACGCCGCACAAATCACAGAGCCAAAACGTTTTTCAAGAAACTCTAGACTGTCCGGAAGAAACAAGAAGAATTACAATGACCGGCTAACCATTACATAGTACATAGATATGTGAACCTGACCAATTCATTTACAACAGAGCAACAGAATAATCCACAAGCAAGAATCATCGCTGCACATCCACCCTTAGACAAATTATTAAATGACCCCAGGATCACCTTAAAGGGACACTAAATTTGGGTTAAGGCCCCGTTCACATTATCGCACAGCATTCCCACTACGCGATCCTGCATGTCGCATTTGCTTGAATGCGCTTCTGTCATTCGAGAAGAAGCCCCTGCTCCTTTTTGGGCATCAAGCTTCACGTGATTTATAAAGGCGCGGTTTGCTACAGTTTCTTTGTGATCCTGACGCACAGCAATCGCATCAGAATCGCATTGCATTTGGAGGTGCCATTAAAGGATAATGGCACCTAAATGCATGCAGCACATTGCGCTGTGATTGCCACGCGATTTGGAATGGCGGGTAGAATCACCGCAATGTGAATGGAGCCGAGTAAAGATTTCTATTCAAGTATGTATTCTTAGCTTACGGCTAGGTTCACACTCATGCGGTGCGGTACATCGCATGTGATTGGCACAGGAACCGCACTGCATGACTGGGCAAATCACATTGTGTGCGCTGCGATTTGAGCCATACATTATGTATGGCTCAAATTGCACCACATTGCACTGCATCCGCAACAAAAAGGTGCAGGACCCTTTTTTGGGTCCGCACTAGAATCGGATCACATGGGTATTCACAGCTATGCGATCCAATTCTGCACATCGCATTGCGTTTTGCGGACTGATTTTGGGGTGTTGTTAACTTAACACACACCCGCAGCAGTTCGAATGAACGGGGTGCAATTCTGATGCGGTGCGGAATTTGCACAGAAAACGCTGCGAAGTCTGCACCACATCAGTGTGAACCAGGGCTTAAAAGCCTGTTCTATTGCTCTCAGCTTCCTCCAATTCTCCAATTTTTTTTTGGTGCTGTGATCTGACATCCTGGTAAAGGGTGACTACGTTCATTCTCCATGGTCCCAATGTATGTAGGAATGTAGCCACCCTATCTTTCTGATTCTCGAGATGAACTATGGACAATGTAGTGTACACACATGACTGCAACTAACGTGCACTGCTCATTTCAAACAGAAGTCGGGAAAAGGGAGAGATTTGGGAGCTCGCAGAAGTTACAAAGAGGCAAAAAAACACATTAAAGCTAGGTTCACACCTATGCAGTTTTCATTTGATCCGTTTCTGCATTGCAGTTTGTGGTGCGTTTTGCATTTTTGCACCTGCGTTGTTGGCGTGTTTTTGATGCATTTTGCGTTTTTTCTTTCTTGTTGCTAGGCAGATTTAAAATGCAAACCGCAGCAAAAATGCACTACATGCTTTTCTGCAGCATTTCCATTGAAGTCTATAAAACCAAAAATGCAACTTTTTTGCATTAAAAAATGTCTCTGACCCTTTCCAAAGAACGCACCGGGTGAAGACATGTGAACGTGTCCCATAGGAAATCATGTTAAATAGACTGTGGTGTGTTTCTGCAAAACGCTGCAGAAAATGCTTAGGTGTGAACCTGGGGTAAGAAACAGTATCATGAAGCAGATTATAGGGCCATTAGGTAGTGGATGCGTACAAATTATTTTGGGAGAATAGGGATATTGTTTAGTGTCACTGTATTAGTGTCACTGGGGATGTCAGTGACAATTAGTCAGTTCCCCCCCCCCCCCAGCGTCAGAATGCCCGCCGCAATCCTGCAGTCCTGCTATAAGTGTCTGTCATTTGTAGACACTATAACTTTCACGTAAACCAATTACGGTAATATATACTTATTGGGATTTTTTTAAAGCAAACACATCGGCAGCACAGTGGCTAAATGGTTAGCACTTCCGCCTGGCAGTACTAGGGTCGTTGGTTCGAATCCCAACCACGGCACCACCTGCCTGGAGTTAGCATGTTCTCCCTGTGCCTGTGTGGGTTTCCTCTGGGTACTCTGGTTTCCTCCCACACTCCAAAGACATGCTGGTAGGTTAATTGGCTCCTTTCTAAATTGGCCCTAGTATATGTATGAATGTGAGTTAGGGCCCTTAGATTGTATGCCCCTTGAGGGTTAGGGACTGATGTGAATGTACAATATACATGTAAAGCGCTGTGTAAATTGATGGCACTATAAAAGTACCTGAAATAAATAATGTAGTAGATTATGTGGTCTAAATTTATGATGATTTTTTTTTTACTGGACATGTTTTATAGCAAAAAGTCAAAAATATTGTTTTTTTTTCAAAATTATCAGTCTTTTTTTGTTTATAGTGCACAAAATAAAAAATACAGAAGTAATCAAATACCACCAAAAGAAAACTCTATTTGTGGGGGGAAAAAAAAGACATTTATGTACAGCGTTGCATGACCGTGCAATTGTCAGTTAAAATAATGCAGCGCTGTATCGCAAAAAATGGCCTGGCCAGGAAGGGGTGTAAATCTTTTGAAGGGCAAGTGGTTAAGGGCCCATTCACACCAGAAACCAGTGTGGGATACCTGCACTCCATGTGCGTTTCCCATACTGCATTCAAGGTGCACTGCCCTTATGCTCTGTAGGGGGTATCAATGCAATCCGCAGGTTACAAACACAGAATTTGCCTGCACCAGATTGTATGGAACAGAAGTACCATGCAATCCGGTTGCAGTGCAGTTTTTAAAAGTAGTACATGCACTACTTTGATGTGGTACAGTGTGCTTTCAGCCTATTGAACTGCATGAACTGAAAACGCACTGAACTCAAATCATACAGGAATTCCTTTTCAATTCTTGCTGTGAACCGACCCTAACTTCCAGTTATCAGACTAAACATCAACTTATGACACACACCCTGAGGACACAGAAAAACAGTATAAATATTAGCATACAGATTAACCATGTGACTCTCAGCCATTCAGACAACGACACAAAGCCAACGTACGTATCATCATACCAAGAATTGCAATGTGGCAGGTTTGTCGCACTGATTGGCAAGCTCGGCACTGACCACATGTACACCCACAGAACCTCTCTTTTGGAAACTGTTTAGGCATGCTTAGAAAACGTTTATCTGTAATAAATCCAGAAATGAAGCAGCGGTTGTTTATTTTTAAGAACAAAACATGTCTAAAGCGAAAATAAACCCACTGATCTAACTGTTTCCCAAAACAGTTACATTTAAGGCATGCTTTGAATAATAGCTATTGCAGTTACTAGTGCGCTCATGTCAAACCATCAAACCACCATCAAATGGCTGGTGTCATAACTGGCCACATGTGCAGCACCATGGCAAATGCAGATCAAACAGAGGCTAAGATGGCGGCTTTCTTGGCTGTAAAGAATAGGAGGGCTTAGTTCCACTTTAACTGTTTCCCAAGACAGTTATATTAATGGCATGCCGTGAATGATAATTGTCACAGTTGCTTGTGCTCTCAACGGTTCGCTTGTGTTCTCAACAGTTCACATGTGCAACTGCAGATTAAACAGGGCTCAAGATGGCAGCTTCCTTTGCTGTAAAGGATAGGAGTGTGTATTTGTCTCTTTAAAGTGATATTAAATGTTCAATATTAATTCTTTCATAAAATAATAAACACGTTATACTTACTTGCTCCCTGCAATGGTTTTGCACAGAGCAGCCACCATTCTCATCTTCTGGGGTCCCCAGCCAGCACTTCTGGCTATTCCCGCTTGGAGTATCCCTTGAGCAAGCCGCTTCCTTGGTGGGGTACTCATGCAGGCTCAACCCCAAACCACACTGTGTGTGTCTATTGATACACATAGTGTGACTCAGCCCAGCCTCCTGCTCCCTTGTCACTGGATTTGAGTCCAGTAAGGAGTGAGAGAAAGTGTGGTGCTGCTGCTCTCATGCACAGCGCTGGATCAAGATCAAGCATAAGTATTTAGGGGGGCTGGGAAGGGCCCGGGGGCTGCACCTTAAAGCTTTTTTATCTTAATGCAGAGAATGAAAACCCTTTAGCCTTTACAACCACTTTAAGGTTAGGGTCACACCTATGCAGGTTGCGTTTGAGCCATTTCTGCATTGCGTTTTGCGTTGCATTTTTACACCTGCGTTTTTTTACGTGTTTTTGAGGCAATTTGCAGGGTTTTTTTTTTTTTTTGTTAGGCAGAATTAAAAACGCTTCAAAAACGCAGCATAAATGCTGCAAAAACGTACTACATGCTTTTTCTGCAGCGTTTCCATTGACATCTATAGAACCAAAAACACAACTGTTTGCGTTAAAAAAAAAACCCTGACTCTTTCCAAAAAACGCACTGGGTGAAAATGTGGAGATGTGAACCTGACCCATAAGAAATCATGTTAAATGGACTGTACTGCGTTTCTGCAAAATGCAGCGGAAAACACTTAGGTATGAACCTACGGTAAGTCCTC